CATGCTCAGCTGTAATCTGTGTTTTTTTTTAAAAAAACATGTCTGAGTTGACTGGACACTGGGCAGGTGAAGTAGAGTTGACCTGGTTTTTTTTACCCCCAGCATATGAAAGGATAGTGTGGTCAGACCCATGCTCTTCCGAAATAGGTGTTTTTAAAAGACAAAACGTCTGAGGTGTGACGTCTTTTTTAATGTGGGTTCTGTTGTTTTTTTTGGAGACGAAGTGATAGACGTGATGTCATTTAGGGTTGACCCCCGAAACCCACATTTATCCAAGGGTAACGGGTAGTCTAAAAGACGATATACCTTTACATGAGACTCTTACTGATATTTTATTTTTGGTTATTTTTATTGTATCGCATGGTTTTGTTGTTCGACAGGGAATAATAAGTAGGCGACAAGCGTATTTCTATAAAATAATTAGCTTTGATACTTATGTAATTTGTGTAACGAATCGTGTTATTAAGGAATATTTGAATATGTTTGAATATTTATTTGTTTGTTTATTTGTTTGTCTGATTTACTACTGTAGAGGATCTGCTCTATGTAGAGAGCTGTAAAATACTATGTAGATAGAGAACAATTTTTGTTTTCAGACAGACTGTTAATCACAAATTTATTTAAAGACATTAATTAATTTATTGATTTATTCATAGGTAGATTAACCATATTAATTATAAAAGTTTAAAACATTCACTTAACTTTGTGGGAATAGTGACGTCACATGATTTGTTTATTTTTTAGTACAATAAAATGGCGGCTTCCATCATAGACTTTGTGGCCCAATCAAAAGTTTAACGCGTTCTAAAGCTAATTTTCTGTCGGCTATAACTTTAACAATACGTCCGTTTGCTGTATTTATTACGTTTCAATTCTATAATCAATGTTTGAACACTTTTTATTTTGTTATACAATACATTTCTCTAGATCCACAGAAATATGTCAAGATTCTTACGCAGCTTAGAAGTAAAATATATAAGTTATTAACTTCTCCAAACGAGCCTAGATGGCTAAGAGGTTAGCACCTTAGGTACCATGCGGGTGGTATGGGTTCTAGACATGTCGGTGTTCTTTTTTAAAATTTTAAATAATTTTTTTAGCTGTGAATGCTAATGTTGCCTTTGCCTATTGGGATACATGGCAGGTGAAGTAGAGTTCACCTGTTTCTTTGTCCTTAGTATATACCGTGGATAGTGTGGTCAGAGCCATGCTCGGCCGGAATCTCTTTTTTTAAAGATAAAACATGTTGTCTGAGACTTGGTGGAACACTGGGCAGGTGAAGTAGTGTTGGGTAGGTGTAAAGTTCACCTGCGACGACAGCATATGAAGAGATAGTATGGTCAGACCCACCCTCAGCCAAAATCTGTGTTTTCACAGACAAAAACATGTCTGAGTTGGGAGGACACTTGGTAGGTGAAGTAGAGTTGATCTGTTTTTGTGACCTCAGCAAATAAAAGATTATGTTGTCAGACCCATACTCAGGCGAAGTCAGTGTTTTTTAAAAGACAAAAATGTCGGAGGTGTGACGCCTTATTGATTGTGGAGTATGGTTATTTTGTGATGATAGTGACAGACGTGATGTCATTTATGGATTACCCCCGAAACCCACAGTTATCAAATGATAACGGGTAGTCTAGTTTACATTAAAAATCAATTAAACGTTTTACCTGTTGCTGATTTGAGCTTATCTTTAAGCACTGCGGTTTAAATTTTAAAATTTAAACACACATAAATATCTGTTATCACTTTCTGTTAGACATGGGTATAGATGGCTGGATTAAAGCCTGACCGATTACGTCAAGTACACACCATATATATATATATATATATATATATATATATATATATATATATATATATATATATATATATATATATATATAATCCATGATTCAAATTATTTAGAATAGCACTCACTTAAGAACTTTATAGTGTCTGTAAATATTATGTTATTTTAATACCTAATTTCAAAATTTCAAAATACTTAATTTCCTTTTTCATTTTTGATTTAGTAGATTTATTAATTTCATGTATTTGGTTGTAAATCTGCTGATATGTAATAAATATGCTACACAATATCAAACAAAACGAAAATGAGTTGTTGTTTTTTTAATTTCTATTTTTATTTATTTTTAAATATTTATATCCACCTATCAGCTTCATTTACTTTTGAAAATATTTTGTAAGATTTATAGTTGTCTAGACCAGTTGACTATAAAAAAAATTAGGAAACAATTCAGAAAAAGGAGATGTTTAACCAAGGCTGCTGTGTGACATGTTATAGTTTGAAGTGCGTGCTAGCTGATTGCAAGGAACCATTTTAATGATGTGTTATTTAACGTAGTAGGTAAGTCCCGTGATAAGTAAAATGGGGTGGAGGTGGTGGTGAGTTTGTGTGTAACAACGGAGTGGAATAAGGTTATGTATGGACTTTGTGAGAGTGTATCTTGTGGTGCGAAGTGTAAGTTATGTATGGAGTTTGTGAGAGAGTGGCTTACTTATATAATATGAATATTAGAGTGGCTGGTTAAGTGAAAAGTTATGTGTGGACTTTGGTCCAGATGAAACACGGCCTTGTATCATGGCCCCGGAAAACTAAAACCACACCGTAAAGGTGGGTCCTTATACAATCATGAGCTATCTAAACTCTGGCCCCAGTACACCCAACTCTGGGAGAAACTTTATTAGGTCTTTATTATGTCTGGAGACGGCAGTTCAGTTCGTTGGGTTTATTGTCTAAATCCTCCGACATTAATATATTAATAACAAAGAATTTTCAACAGTACCATTAAATTAGAGTTACTAAATTTAAATGAAATATTACTAACATGTGTCATTCCATGCTGGTTCTATGAAATGTTATTTTAAAAAACGGATTATTATAACTTAAAATCTAATAACACATGCATTTAAAAACATGGGTCAGTCAACCAATACGTTTTAAAACTAGATTTAAATAAAATTTAATTTTAAAAAAATCACAAATTAATTTGAGAATTTATTTTTTGAACTTTTATGAAGTGCGTTACATACAATTACTCTAAACAAGTGACAAACAAAACAAATTAAATAACACAATTTCATATTAATGATTAATTTGAAACTTGAAATCTTAAAATTCATATGCTCATTTAAAGTGTCGAAAATCTTCCCTCTGACTTTTGTCTCTGAAAGGACTAAAAAACATGACCATCTTAAGATTAACATAGCGATCCATTAGCAGTGATTAACAAACAAACATCCTCCACTTTGCTTTATACTATAAAATTGTTGAATGTTTGAATTTTAAATTTGGTGTGTCAATTTATTAAAAATTGTATAATTTCATATCACCGGCACTGAAAAGACAACAAAAACTTGACCATCTCAAGATTAACATACTGTGGTGGATGATAATCAAAGTTTTCTATTCCAATGGACATTTCCCACAAATCTAAGAACACGATTTTATCTTCTAGGCCTTTGAACCTGTCTCGTATTATATGGAGATACTGAGGTCCTAAAGGATCCCCTCCAACTGCATGGTTGTAATCGTAATATAAAGAAGCGATGTGTGGACCTCTAAGTCCTATCAAGACGTTGGGGTTTTCTTCAAGCAGTTTTTCTATGGCGGCTCTCAGAGATTTCATACGTAACGACAGCACAGCGAGATGGGAAGCCGTGTAGTGGAGGTAATAATTAATGATGAGAATATGTTTCTGGTTTTTTGGAAGCTTCTGTATAAAATTTGGGACAGTAAAATTGTCGCTTTTTTTTGAGGATACATACGCCGGTCCTTCGTGGCAAAAAACATTTATGGAGAGTCCAGTCTCAGGATTGTTGCATTTTCCTTTAGGGTATTCGCCTTCTGTTTTGTTACATTTTGTCAGCTCTAGAATCACATCATAGGTCATCCTGGCATTTGAGTCCCCGAAGATCCAGACGGATGTGTTTCTGAGGCATTTTAATGTCCAGTCTGTATTGATGACCCCTACGTCCTTACAGACCAGAGACTTCCAGATATTGCCAGGTGTCCAGATGCCTTTAGGCATTGCTGTTGTCCAGGTGACATTTTTATTTGACGTGTAACAAGGGGGTGATTCAGGAAAGTTATCTGCAATATATATATATATATATATATATATATATATATATATATATATATATATATATATATATATATATATATATATAAATAAATAAATATATATATATATATATATATATATATATATATATATATATATATATATATATATATATATATATATATATATATATATATATATATATTACAAATAACGTACAGAAAATGTTATGCTCATTTAAAATGTAAGTGATCTACGTTACAATATGTTGTGTTGTATGAAGTGTTGATCTTGGTATGATAATCAACGCCGCTGAGATTAATCATTTTGAAGTTCAATAAGGTGTACACACACACAAACACACACACACACACACACACACACATATATATATATATATATATATATATATATATATATATATATATATATATATATATATATATATTGAATGAGTAAGAAGTAATGCTTATTTTAATAACCTATGTATCAACATAAAATATGTGATGTTGTATGTTGTGCTGGTCATCGGAATGGATAATCCAACATTAAGAACGTTGAGATTAACATCGTTCAACATATTCTATTAAAATTATATTTTAGTGAATGGTCACAACCAGAATACCTGTATTTTCTGTAGATATTTTAAAATTGTGAGCAACTGTCCGCTCTGATGGTTTCCTGTGGATGAGTTTTCAACTCGTAAAGCCGGAACAAAATTAATGTAAGAAATATTAACTAGAATGTTTACCTGTTACTTTCGTGTGGCAAAGCAAGAACACATATTAAATAATAAACTTTGCAACGTAAAAATATTTCAGAAGATAGTAAGTTAGTATTTTAAATTAAAAAATAGAGATTGTTAATTTCATACACAAACACGGTTATTTACCGTTTTCTTAAAATCTTGATTTCCAAAAGTAAAGAAAAAACTTACGTGCAAATAGACTTAATCAGACTTCTTTCATCTTCTGTAACGTCGTGGGGCGGTGATAAATCTAAATATCCCCCTTCTATCCAGTCGTCACATGATAAACTGAAGATATATATATATATATATATATATATATATATATATATATATATATATATATGTATATATATATATTTAGGAAATATATATACAGAGAGAGTATGTATGTGTAAGCTTACTGATTATTTCTCGGTCTACCACAGTAATAATTCTCGTAACCAAACTTGCTGAAGTTACAAATACATTCCCAACCTGGTATGTTTGGAGCTTGAAAACAAATGGTGTCCTGTTATATTTTTTTTTATAATAAACACCGTTAGCATAACCCTATATATATATATATATATATATATATATATATAAAACAATGTGTGTCTGTGTGTTTGTATGTCTTTTATGAATTACTACAACTGTCATCCGATCGAAATGAAACTTTGGGAAGTTGATAATACTCTTGGGAAGTTCATACAATCACCATCAAACTTTGAGGACTTGATGAGAACACACCGGGGGGGGGGGGGGGGTTAGCCAAAAATCATTCTTAATATTGCTAGGGTGGCGCCCCGAGAGTTTTCAAACTGTCTCCATTTACGGTTTATAAAATCAAAGTAGGATGCGGATCGACATCGTTCATCCGAAAGCCATTAAAATTTGGGGAGTTGATAAAAAATACTCCCACGAGGTGAAGAAAATAAATTTTCCAAGGGCGGCACAGGAATGTGCGATTTGGCGCTCTCGTCTTTCTCTTGAGCCCTATGGCACCTACGTTCGTTTATAATATTGACACTGAGGCACACGACATTCAATGACCAGGGGCCGTACGCGGCGCCCCTACGGTAGTGTATCTGGGGGCTCCCTTTCAGCCCACTGCTACGCCCCTGACACCTGGGAGGTGGCTAAAGTGTGTTCTACCTACAAATTATGGAAACTGATTAACATACAGTATCATACACCACGTACTGGGGCCTGCTGGGTAGTAATGTAGGTAAACCGGTGCCCTGAAAAATATCACCCAAGAAATATGGCGCAGGCACTGTTGACATTTAAACTCGGTTTTAGAAAACAAGGTCACGCGTCTATGAACATAGGATTGGTAACGTATTGCTAAAAACATCTTAAATATTACGTCATACTTCTTATGAAACCAAGGCAACGTGCGTACGGGCACGCTTTTATATATATATATATATATATATATATATATATATATATATATATATATATATATATATATATATATATATATATGTATGTATATATATGTATGTATATATATATATATATATATATATATATATATATATATATATATATATATATAATTATATATATATATACATACATTAACAAAGTTATAGGTAAATGTAAGCGAATAAAACGGAGTTTTATATTCTCCAGCATTTACCTCATTATAGTTTCCCTTTTTAAATGTGGCGGCCATTAATCTTGTTGCCCCAATGTGAATCTGGTGGATGACGGTCCTGATGAATTCACGAGGGTAGGCGATGGCCAAGTGAAGCTAAAGATTAGACAATTATTTGTTAAAACTCAAGACCCTATCTTGAATTATAACAATTAGAAACATTCGCCTATTTATGCTTTCGTAGCTAGTATACTTTCTGTTTGCTTTGCATTGAATTGCTTTGAAAAACAACAACAACAAAAAAAGAACAATGTTGTTTTCTTTGATCAAAGCTTTGGGTCGCTGATGAGATCCCTTGCATATTTTAGCGAGCAAAGTTTTTTAAAACATCTGTCTGTACTCAAAATTTAATTTAAAAAAAAAACCTTTTAAAAAAAACATATTTGAAATGTGTCTCTGTATTGAATCTTACTGGATTGCAATCCTAAAATTCAATCGTTAATGATTAACACAGTTTGCTGAAATCTCTTTTATTTTACAAGCTCTTTTTTTAAAAGATGCCTTGCGCTATTATCTTATTTCCGCCAATTTATTTCAAATTTGACTCATATATCAAGGCGCAGTGACAATTTAATGTGAAAATATCTATGATACAATTCTATTTCTGATTTATTTAATAGTTTATTCATATTGAATAATATAGCATCACCTGTCACAACAAAACCCTTACTTTACAAATCTAAAATAAAAATTAAAACTTCAGTTAAATTACTATAAGTATTGCTAGTATTTATTTGTTAGAAAATTTCTAGGCTTAGATAAACCATTTAGTACTTATTTCTCAAATGCTATAAAATATTTAACTTTGGTGGAAAAATAATTAAACCAACTTTTAAAGCCAAGTTGTACTAAGGATTTTATATACATAGAATACAAATTTACTATATCTACAAAACAGTGGTGCATTATTAAATATTTAAAAAAATACTTTATTTTTTTTCGGCAAAAATAAAAGCGTATAATTTTAAACGGTTTTTAAAAAAAAAAACATTATTTTAATCAATTAGGAAAAAATACGTTACCGAAGATAATCCAGTCCAGAGACATTTTACATTGAAAACATAGCTGCCATTTTTTAGATCCAAGACATCACCCACTACAGCATATCCAGTTGGATTATTGCCCTTCATCCACACCCTGACCACATCTTCTCCCTTGGTTCTCTGACGCCCGTACCCATCCACGACATCCAGACGACCGTGTATAGTTTCAAGTATCTTACACCTGACCACACCTTGTATTGTGTTTTCAACTGTCACTTTAGACAATTCCAAATCTGGAAGCGTTTTAGTATCGTTCAAAGGGGGATAACTCAAATATTTTTTCTCCCAATCAAAGATATACTGCCCTCTTGCAAGGAACGGTTTAGGTACCATTAAATCTTTTGCTATTAGTCCATTGAATTCCTGTGTACTTGTAGCTGTACACACAAGGTTATCTGCATAACAAATATTGTTACACGTATTTAAAGTCTTGTAGGAATGTTGAGCAAAAGCTTCATAGATATCTATCGGACCATCGTCCCAGAATTCTCCCTCAATCGCTTGATAAAAATGGACGTCAACTTCTCCATGTAGAGGTAAAAGCGTCGTTTCTTTTTTGTATGGTGGCGTGGTCATTGGTGCAAAATTTAAAAATTGCTGCCTGTTATTTTATAAATATAAAATTACTTGTCTTTTATTGGACTCCTTTAACGGCACATATCTTTACAAAATATAGGTATTGATTAAAAAAAAAAAGATAATTAATAATGTTACAATATTTTAGCAAATGCTTGATAATAATTTTTTTTACTGACCATTTAAAGAGATATAATACCGAACAATACACGGTTATAAATCCAACAATGAAGGTGATGCTTCTATTGGTAGTCGTAGTAAATTTCATTCTTCATTAGCTTTTCAATCTGTGACAAGAAATACATGGAACCGTCTATGTTTGAAAATAGTAATATATTAATGACATTATACATTCAGAGACTAGTGGTAAAAGTAAATGTAACATAAATTTAAAATAAAAAAAAAACATCGCTAAAATTTGTAGGCTATAAACATATACATTCCGAACTCAAGGAAACCCGATTAAAAATATAATTCAAATATTCAAATATGCAATGCATGTATTATAATGATATAACTGACAAACAATATAGATGAGGTTATTCCATTTTAGGGATAACAAATATGAATTTTTATTAAAATCATAATCTCCAATAGGCCTATGTTCTAAATTGAATTTAATCAATAAGGATTTAATCTTAATGGAACTATTTTAAACGCGGCTAACGGTCTAGCATAATAACAGATTTTAAAATAACGGAACTAGTAGTAGAATGGCGAATTATACGTCATATTTGTGATTCATATAGTTTGTAGGACTACAAAGTTTATTAAGACGATGAGAATATATACCTCAGTCAATACAAGGTGTTACGTCCCTTACATGTCCCCTGATTGTGTGTGTGTGTGTGTGTGTGTGTGTGTTGTGTGCTCGAACGACAGTTATATATATATATATATATATATATATATATATATATATATATATATATATATATATATATATATATATATATATATATATATATACGTAAAAAGGTGAAAGTGTGTATGTGGGCTTGTTTGTGGTATATGCATTACTACAGCTTTCATCCGAAGCCATGAATCTTTGGGGAAGTTGATGACAATACTCGAGGGAGATTTCTGCAAAAATATATTTAACGAGCCGACCCGCGGTGTATCTTACGCCGCTATTTAGTTGTTGTTTTTTCTACTTTTCAGTTATTCATAATTTGTGAATTCGACAGTACCAACGCTGAAACTCTATAAGTAGCTCATTAAGGACGATAACCCCTCTCCTTCCCCCCCCCCCTCCGTTAAAAGTAACCTCCACTTCCCCCCCCCCTACGTTTAAAATCGTTTCAAACTAAATTATCTGCCCCTAATAGTCGTCACTAAACCCGGCTCTGTTTGTAAACATTTAGAGTGAACCACAGCTCACCAGACCATATAAGGGTGGGGGTGGTAGGGAGCGCGTTTACAGCTTGTTTTCTAGCGTCTCCTAGAAGAGAATTATATATATATAGATTTCGAAAGGGCGTCAAAAATGCACTGAATGCATTTTTTACGACTATTTTTTATGAAAAACTATTGGAAGCTTCACAAGCACACAGTTATCTAAAACTGTAATTTCTTGTGAGAAATTCGTCTATTTAATATGTAGTGTGGGACGGAGTGGTCTAGCTGTAAAGAGTTGGTCTGCTAACCCGTAAGTCTAGAGCTAGAATCCGGGTTCAAGTCAGTAGACCGTCCCTGAGTCCACCCAACTCTGATGGGTACCTAACTCACGTTAGGGAAAGTAAAGGCGGCTAGGCATAGTGCTGACCACACTATCTCTTCATATGCCGAGGTCACAGAAACAAGTGAACTCTACTTCACTTGCCCCATAGACTGTCAGGTTTGAAAGGGAAACTTTACTTAATATGTAGTATCCTAACAATTAGGTTCAGAATTTCGAGTTTAGAGAAAGGGATAAGTTTAAATTAATGTTCAGTGATAAGATTACAGTGAGGCTAATTCTAGGGTCACTCTTGATGATATTGTCAACAAAATATTCACAACGTGGCTTTTGAAGTGTAGAATTTTATAAAAGTGTTTTAGGCACTTGTAATAAAGAAATATGGCCACGAAATTGTTTACTACCATTAAAGGTTTGTGGAATACAAACATAACGTTGTATCAATCTAAAAATAATCGAAACAGCAAAACTGAAGTTGAGCTGGTTTTGGGAAGCGATAAAGGCCTATATATGTCGTGTGTGTGTGGGGGGGGGGGGTGTTGTGTGTGTGTGTGTGTCTAATCTCGAGTAACTACAAATAACACATACCTCCCCAGACTATTCAAAACTCCACTGAAGACAACTCGAAAACGAAAACTCCAAGAAACTACAAAAAACTGGGTGTTTAGGACCCCAAGTCTAAACAAACATTGGATACAATCAGCTCTATCTGTGTAGGACCCTAGATTAAACACACACACACACACACACAGAGGCGTAGCGACCCTTCCCGGCGCCCGGGGACAAACTTTCGATTTGCACCCCCCTCGAACTTTTGATTTGCACCCCCCCCCCCCCCCCTCAAACTTTCGATTTGCACCCCCCGCTCGAACTTTTATTTGCACCCCCCTCAAACTTTCAATTTGGCGTCCCCCCTATGGTCGGCGCCCTGGGACATATGTCCCCCCGCCCACCCTCGCTACGCCTCTGCACACTCACCAGATAGACATAAACTAGCTGTTAACTTTCAAGACAATGCGAGGTGGGAACAGATAATTCAGGACGGCAGGTCATAAAAAAAAACAACAACAAAGACTCATATCTTAACTATCTATCAGTGCTAAACAGTAACTTATCACGAGGTAAAAAATCTGCCTCGACATTTTAATTAAATATACCTTAGCGTATCTATATATATATATATAATTCTCTTCTGGGAGTCGCTTGAAAACAAGCTGTAAGCGCGCTCCCTACCACCCCCACCCCTTCATGGTCTGGTGAGCTGTGGTTCACGCTGTTTACAAGCAGAGCCGGGTTTAGTGACGACTATTAGGGGCAGATAATTTAGTTTGAAACGATTTTAAACGTAGGGGGGGGGGTAATTAAGTGGAGTTTACTTTAACGGAGAGGGGGGGGGGGGGGAAACGGTGGGGGGGGGATATCGTCCTTAACGAGGTACTTATAGTGTTTTAAAGAAATATTTTCAGTGGCAGCGTTGGTACTGTCGAATTCACAAGTTATGAATTACCGAAAAGTAGAAAAAACAACAACTAAATAGCGGCTTATGATATGCCGCGGGTCGGCTAGTTTTAAATAAAAGAGAAGCAAGTAGTGAAGCAAGTAGTGCTTCTCTCCCCCCCCCCCCCCACCCCCTGACTATCCTTCTTTTGAAGGCTATATTTTTTTACCTATCTATATATATAGAAAGCAAAGTGCCCGGGTTCCCGATAGGGAATTTTCCTGCGTCGCAGGCGCTTCACCTTTGGCAGGATTCTGCCTTGGGACAATAGAACACGAGAGCTGAAGCCGGTTGGCCGCACCGTCCACGAGAAGGGGGTCAAAACTGACCTCGACTGGCCGGCGATTAAATAAGCAATATTACGAAAAAAACTTTTGCCGAACGACCCCCCTTGATATTTTGTGAGGTGGTAGAAGAACACCAAGGGGTATCACAAAAAACACGGCATATCTGGGAAAAAATCCTAGTGGTCAAAACTGACCAGCCGTATTTCCCTATATAATCTTGGTATTTTATGTGAAAAACAGAGGGTAATTTCAATAAAGATTTCAGGGTACTTAACTTCTGTACATCACGCTAATTTTTGGCATGCACCTAGGTAAGTGGCTAGGCCGTACGGAAAAACTGTCGGTTTGGCTAAAATGTGACCACGAGTGAAATTCTCTTTATATGAGCAATATTACGAAACAAACTTTTGCCGAACAACACCACTTGATATTTTGTGAGGTGGTAGAAAAACCTCAAGGAGTGTAAGAAAAAACTCGCCGTATCCGGGAAAAATTTAAAAATGTGTCAAAACTGTCCAGTTGTATTTTCCTATATAATCTTTGTATTTTATGCGAAAAGCAGGGTAGTTTCAACACAAATTTCAGGTACTTAACCTCTGTACATCTAGCTAATTTTTTACATGAACCTGCATAGATTACTATATAGATTACCATGCCGTATGGAAAAACTGTTGGTCTAAAAAAAATGACCTCGAGTGACATTCTCCTAATATGAGATTTTAATAAGTAAATTGACGAACGATCCCCTAATATTTTGTGAGGTCGTAGACTGACCCTGGAGGGTAACGAAAAAACAACAACATTATTCCCGTCGGAAAAAATCCTTATGGTCGTTAGATTTGTCTAGATGCTGTATTTTCTTTTATAAACAATTGTCTGTCGTAAAGTAAACAAAGACTACGTCATTCGGTTTATGTACAGGGAGGTAACTTTTAAAGTAATAATTTTTAAATAATATTTATACAATCTGTTAGAAAAAACTAAAATCACAAAGTATAGTATTCGTTTA